TACATTTATCCATTTTAAATACACTAACCTCAATCCTTTTGTAACAACTAAGCCAAAAATGTAATTAATTCTGAAAATCTTTTCAGGACCCCACCTTGATGTTTCGGGACCCCACTTTGGCTCCCGACCCCATTTTTGGGAACCACTGCTCTAATCCCATATTTATTCAGTTTTCCAAGGAGAATACTGTGGTCAATCGTGTCGAATGCTTTCTTTAAATCTACACAAATACTAGCGCAATATTGTTTTTTTGTCAATAGCATTTGTTATATGTTCTTTTACGTCAGACGTAGAACATAACCAGCTTTTATTTACACAGACAGAAAGAACACATGATAACACACGCCAACTCTTTGTCTGTTTTAACCTTTATGGCTGCAATGATCAGAAAGTGTAAAAATGCAAAACTGGATCCAAAATTCAGTTAGTCATTTACAAAATTTCCTTCAACACTAAATACACTAAACATTTAAAAATACTAAAAACTAATAAAACTCTAATCATTGCACACAAAATTTTTAAAAATAAAACAATAAATATATGGTATGCATAAAAATAGAGTCTCTCAGGGTCCACAAGTCTTCTGATGGAGGGGCTGTCAGTAGAGCAGGTCAGGGACAGCAGCCATCCACTGAGTCCACACTGCAGAAGGTCAGCAGAGTCGGAGGGACTGGAGTCCATCACAGACTGTGGTCTGGATCCCATTGTCCTCTGCTCTAGAATCTGCTGCATACCTCTGAACCCCCTCCCAGATTAATTTCCAGCAYTCCAGTAATACAGATCAATGCTAKATACACACTAATTTGCCCAAAACATATCATCACCAGGTACTACACAGTCTGCCTGCCATAAAAATACAAAATTTTAAGTTTAGCATCCTTTAAAAAACAAGTGATATGTAGTTTAGCTGTTTCATACATATAAAAAGTAAAATCACAGAAAGTGATCATTATAAAATGGTCTCTTAATATTTTCCGGAGCTGTTTATTCCAGACATATGGAGCATAATCAGAACAATACAATAATATTTGGCCTAAATCTTGTTTTTAGGTTTTTCTAATGAGGATATTTTACATCACTGTAAAGAAGGAACATCAAATAATATTTGGATATTGAGATATTTTCAGCTGGAAAGAAAAAAAASCTTTGCTAACTCACAGGGAAAATATCAAATATTCAAGGCTTTSTAGCTCAAAATCTTGTTTTGTTTTTGTTGCTCAAAAGAGTGCTTCAAAAACTTGAAGTTTATATTTCCTGCAGATAACGTATTTATTCTTTACATTTTTGACAAAATGCAGTTATTGCAAATATTTAAACCAATGACAGCTGCCTGTTTCTCCACACACAGTTAGACTTCGTGACTTCATCCTTGGATGTGACGGCTCACACACGGCAGTGCTTCTTGACTAAATAACTAGATTGTGTCAAAATGTAAACATTCAGTATTGAGGGAACAACATTCATTTCTTTCAGTGTTGTTAAAAAAAACCCATGAAATACATTCATGTGGAGTTCCATCAAAGTTTTGGTTTAAAGTGCCTTCATAGGACCTGCAGTGTCATTCATTCTGTGAAGATAAAAAAAACATTAGTTCATATTAAACTGACTCAAGCTGAGAAACATTTGCAGAGCTGCAGTTCAATTAAAGAAAAGTCAAATGGCAAGGTCCTGATGGTATCTCTTCTAAACCCCTCTGCTGCAGAGCTAACCCCGGCATGCTGCCCTGTTTCACAGCTCTGGYGATTCTCATTTTGCTCCTGTCATCTGGAAAATATCTACCATTCAAAGAAACACTGTCTTCAGAAAACAAGGATTATAGAGTGGCTTTAACTTCTGTTGTAATGAGATGCTCTGATAAATACAGTACATGCTGTCACATGTATTTCATTTTTAAATAAAGACCCAACATTTATTGAAGGTTTGCATGTTGTCCATCTTTTATGACAGGGTTCGAGCTTTTCTCAAAACTTTGCCTCCCTCACCAGATCCTTTTATCATTGTTTTTTACAATGGCTTCAATACCCCATCAAAGAAATTCACTTTCATGTCTAACAATATAGAATAATTATATTTAAAGGTGAAACAGAAAAGCTCTTCTAATATTCGTCATACTGTACCTGTAACTGTTCTGATATCCACTCAGTAAAATAGGTTATGTTGCCATAAACTCCTGGCAGGTTCTTTTGAGCACATCCATATCCCCAGCTAGTGTCCCCTGCCAGCCACCATACATTTTGTGTCTTAACCACCAGAGGGCCTCCACTGTCCCCCTGATCAGACAGGACAAGAA